ATTAATTACACTGATAATTCAGTGAACAAATTGCGACTCGTAGACCAATCAGACATTCTTTATATTGCCTAATTTAAACTGACGTATATTGGTCGAGGAGACCGCAAAGTCTTCAGAACTTTGACGACCGCTTCAGCAGTCGTACTAAGATTTCCGTGGAACCAAAATTGGGGAATTAAGTTCAAACATGAACACGAGTAGAGAACTTTGTCCCGGGATGACAATGTCTCACAACAGAAACCCAGCATATTTCGACCCTACTACTGGTGTCCTCATCTGTATACTAAACGGTGTACTTGCCGTTCCAACAACTATTCTAAACTTTCTTCTTATCGTCTCTATTCTCTCAACTCCAAGTCTTCGCAAGCCTTCCTACGTCTTGATCTGTGCCTTGGCTTTCACGGATTTTGGCGTTGGAATCCTGGTTCAGCCTTTGTACATTGCTCGTAAAGTGTCTTTTCTCTTGTCTTCCTTTGAGACGTACTGTTTCCTGCTCAAGACTGGTAACGTGGTTGCACACATTATCTGTAGCCCTTCATTCTTTATTGTAACAGCCATCAGTGTAGATCGTTACCTTGCAATCAAACTACGAAACACGTATTCCCAAGTCATGACCAACAAAGTGATAATTCAGTACCTCGCAGGCACCATTGTCTGTGCATGCTGTATCACAATATCCAGATTCCACGCTACGAGCCCCAAGTACATGGGTTTTGGAGCCTTTTTTCTGTGCCTTTTCTTGATTATTATCCTTTTCTGTTACTTCAAATCCTTGAAGGAACTTGGAGCCATTCATGTCCAAGTTGAGAGGATGGGCCAGAGTTCAAGTCATCGCCGCGTGCTCAAGACCCTAATGATGATTGTCACAGCTCTCTTTCTGTGCTACGTGCCTTTTGTGATCGTGGTCATCGCCATTGCTGTGTATGGTCGTTCCAAGGGGTTCATGATTGCTTGGGAAGTCACCGCTTCTTTGATGTACTTCAACTCGTGCATCAATCCTATTCTTCACTTTTCGCGATTGAAGGAGCTAAGACAAAGATTTTCAACCTTCTTGTGTTGCAGTTAGTGTTGTCTTTCTTTCTTTCTTCATTTCATTCTTTTTTTTTTCTTCTTCATTTTATTCTTATTTCACACAAAAATGTTAATGTTAATAGAGATATTCTGCAGCCAGAGGTATTCACATCCGCTAAACTAAGATTAACGCAGATTACTAAAACACGTAGAGTCCACCTGGCTTCTAAAAGACACTCGTTATAATTTCCCACGACAACTGGAGTTGCTCCTGTGTAGTATTCGTTTTCACAAGAAAATATTTCTTTAAGTCCCATTGTATGCCCCGATTTCATTTTTTTGAATGAGATGGTTGTCAGTGATTTTAAAGAAGTTGTAGTGCAATTTCGGTTATTTTATAGATCTCCTCTAGTTTTGTTTTCGCACGGAATTGTATTTAGCTAACTCGATCCCATTAAGACCACATTATCTTATTATTGCATTATTCTCGTTAACACTTCAGTTAATTTTCTTTTTCATTGATTACCAGGAAACCAGGCCATAAGTGATCGAAATGAGGATGAAAATTTAGAAGCTTTGGAGAAAGAGCTCGCAGCACTCTCCCTTAAAACAGGTAAAAACGAGTGATTGCAACTAACGATTTGACTTAAGAAAAATAAAGCATCAGAGTCAATACTGAACTACAAACAGTCTGCAATAAATTATCGGGTTATTTTTGCAGAACGTTTAGTTTTAGTTATTGACCCTGGTGCTATCGTTTTCTCCCTTTTTTTTTTCTTTTTTTTTTCTTGAATTGTGGCAATCCGCACACAAATCTAGTCCTCTTTTTTCGTTGTCTGGTGCTGTCTTTGCAGTGCCGGAGTGAAATGGTTTGAGCTGCGTTTTGTGTGTGAAACATAAATGATGGGAGTCATAAGCAACTTAATTGACATCGTCTATGAAAAAGATAAATGGTTATTTTGCCATGCTAATAACGCGAACTACACCGACCTATACACCGACAGAATTATGAGCTTGAGCTATGAGACACCGGTCAGTTTAATATACTATATTCAGTCAGTGTATCCTAATAAACTCTGTAAAATCTCTCTCTATTAAATACTGGTTCTCAGTACAGCTCTCTCTTTTAATTTTATAGATGGGAACAATTTATCAACAAACAATGAAAAGGTAAGAGACGGTTTTCAAACGGATAATTTCTACATTTAAGTTAAGGGTTTCACTAAAGAGTTTCGGATTTATGCTGCGGAGGAGTAAGAAGATAATAAATCATGAAGACGCCAAGCTTCCCTTGATTTTCATGAAATCAAGGAAGCAGAGATGTAAACAAACAGATCCTCACGAAAACAGGGTTAAAAAAACAAAAGGTTTTACAGTAGCTGCCTGCCGCAATCTTGGAAGTAGAGCATGAGATTGAACGTTTATATACTTCGTCCCGTTTTGGTAGGTTTTCAAATTAAGACCTTTCCTGTAAAGTTTATGTTACGGATTACGTTTCTTGTGATTTCCACTTAAAAAATTAAGAGAACGCGCGTTGTCCTGGCCAAGTGATGTTTTCTCGCCAATTGACGTTGAAAGTGTGGTAGCTTCCTGTTCTTCTTTTTTCTTATCCACGACCTTGCACTTCACTGGCTTTCTGTACTTAGAAAAGCCACACACGTGAGTGTGTTTGTCATTAAAGCGAGGAAATTAGTCAGAAAACACAATAATATATCGGAAACATTACTCGAACTTTCACCGCCTTAAAAGCGCCGAAATTTTAATGTTTATAAAATGTTTATGAATTCCTGCTGAGCTTATTTTTCTCCTTACATGAAAGATATCAACGGCAGAAGAAATGGCACCCTCTTCAAAAGTCCCGGGAGACACGAAATTATTGAGGTTCCCCGAACCACCAAGTCACAGCCCGTCGAAAACAGACCAACCTTTTGAAAGCAAAGAAAAACGAAGAGAAGCGCTCAAGATATAGAGAAGGATTCTTGAGAAAGCTCTATTGGGTTCGGTAGTTTTGATTTTAGCCCAGCGCATAATTAAAGCTACAAGATCTGAGGTTCCTTGGTCGTGATTTTTTGATTCTTGCAAATAATAATAATAATAATAATATATTCTTAAAAGCGCATATAACTCTGAGAGTCTCTGCTCTTTGTGATAGTTTTTTAAGACCTATACAAATGCAAACTAATCTATCTATCTATCTATCTAGGTAAAATAAAATGCATTATCCTTAGGATATTAGGAATAACTCAATGCTTAGATAGTATTCCGCTGTTACGCACTGATCTTTAAGAAGTGTACTGCACAAGAGTTAAATACTCTAACATCTCACTGTCTGGGACGCAAGGACATTTAGAGCAAGTGTAATTATTCAGAGACTGTCCAGCTAATGAACTTATGATTGTCGCTCGATGTTTTAATATAATAGGCAGATTAAGATTCCCGTTTTTTCTTCCCGCAAACGGCAAACATGACCACGTTTTCATCGTTTCCCTACATTCCACTTAACCTTTTGCAAACCTTCCCGACAAAGACACATATTCGTATAGTTTTTATCTACTACTTGGAGATCATTGCGATTCCTTTTCACTAATTTTATAGAATTTTTTAATGGTCAACTGACGTTTCACGTTTGCCGTAAACGAGAAGCTTAACCTATCTAATGCTAAAGAAGACACTCGATGTAGGTTACAGGCAGACATGCGCAGTTACCATATAAATTAAGTGTTATAAAAAAACTATTTGGGTTGCCTGTGGTATTTCACCTTGTGTTGCTATTACATAATCTAATAAAAAGACAACCGTTGTTAGATTGCGTACGCTTACCACTGCCCTGGGGAAGGGGAGGACAGGAAGGAATGAGCAGCGGAGATACCAAGAGAAAATGAAATGTTCTCTTGAAGATACCAATGGGAAGCATGATCGGGTTGCACAGTAGCGGAAAGAACTGCGAAAACTCTTGCCTCTTACCAATGCGACGGGGTCGATTCCTGGTGTCATGCGAGTTGATTTTGTTGTTGATGCACTCCCTCGCCACGAGGGGGTTGCTCCGGTTTTCATTACTACGCAAAAAAAGACTAATAATAATAATAATAATAATAGACACTTATATAACGCTTATTCAAATCTGTTCTAAGCGCTTTGGAAAAAATAAAAATAAAAATGATCATATATACAAGCATTACACTAATTTACAAACTAAAGGCTATTATAAAAAGGTCGGTTTTCAGTTCTTTCTTAAACGTTCTCAATCTTAGGAGATATTTTCGATAGAAATGCGAATAAATTGGTTGTCTTTGCACAAAAAGTCATGTCAGCCTAAAACAGGCTAATTATACTTTAAAAAAATAAAAACAAAATAAACATTTACAAGTAGGAAATTGAATTGAATTCCATTTACTAATAGGAAAATAGGAAGGAAATTATGAAAAGGCACCAATATTTTAGAAATGGTATGAATTATCCAAGTTAGCCGTCCCTTGCCTCTGATAAGTACATAGTGTGTTTCAGGGTTCGATAAAATTTTATTGTACGTTTGGAAAGAATATGACCATTCGAAATGATAAAAAAATGCATTTGAAAACCAAACGCAATTACTTGGTTATCCTCTCGCGAGTTTGAAGTTCTTCTGCCAAGATGGCTTGAAAAGAATGGGGAAAATTACTCATTAGGACGGAAAACGAATAGAACAAAAAGAAAATAAGTCAAACAAGAAAATGAAATGAGAAAGAAAGACAGTAGAAGAAAGGAAATGTGAAAGAAAGAAAAAGGGATTATATTTATTGATTATATTATTGATTGATCGATTATATTATTAAGAAAAAGGGAAATAATAAAAACGTGACTTAAAGAAAGAAAGAAAAATGCCAAGAAAAGAAGAGAGAAGAAAAAATGGGAGGTTAAAATGATACAAAAGTTCTAAGAAGTTGTTTTTCAGACATGTCTTTCTTTCTCAGACCTGTTTTCTCTTCATTCAATTACTAACACACGCACGTATCGTCTGCTCATCTTCCCCTGTGTCAAGAACATAACGTGAAGCTTTCCTATCATTTTTTAGTGGTTTCACAAATCGAAGACAAGCTGTCAGAAAAGGTATTTAAAATATGTCTCATTACCTTGATTGTTTGGGGCTGCATTGCAGATCGCAGTGACAGTTTGTCCAAGGTTTCCGAACGGTCTCGTACAAACTTGGTTCCCTTAATTAAAAAACAAAACAAAAATCAAGTAAACAAAAGCTGTGGAAAATGAATTGAAGTTCATACTGAAATGGAGTTTCGTTTACGAGGTAATGGGAGGGTAACGTTTTTGTTAATGTCTTGAAAATAATGCAAATATATCCTTCGTTAAGGGCAAAACATTAATACCTCCCAAATAATTTTTTTATAACGCCCTAGCTCCCCTCCCCTCTTAATTTTAAAAACATTTGATATTCCACAACCCACAAAGAAACATGGCCCCCCTCCCACAGAAAAATGTCCCCCCCTCCTCCTCTT